GAGATGACTATTGTAAGTAGGGTGTGTGTAAATAGCAAGTATCCCAAACCAAAAAGTAAACTCATTGCTATCAAGCTAGGTCTGGTGTATAGTGATATTGTGTAGGTAGGGTTCCTAAGCATATGCACCTTTAAGAGAGCAGATAGCCTGATCTTTCTTTCATGGAGCGGCTCATGTGTTTGAACCACTAATCTTGCGGTTAGCAGTCCAAAGCTTAAGCAGCAGCATACTATCAAATTATAAAAATACCATTTCAAAAATGAGCTGCTTCCGGGAACCCAAAAGGCAAGCGAATTTTGGGAATGATGAGGGCAACAAATGTATCGATGTGCTTTACACAATTGATCTATGTATTGTGATGAATTGTATGAGCCCCAATAAATTGATTTTTAAAAAAATACCATTTTGATGTGAGAATGAATTGACTGTTTTAATTTTTGTTCTTATTAGTTTAATATTGCTTCATGAATGAATATATTATGTTTGTTAAGTAAATAATTTAAAAATAAATTAGGGGGCTTCACATTTTTTGAAGCCTGATCCTAGATATTATATTATGTAAACATAAATCATGACTTGGTTTTTCTTTGCATATTTTTATTGTTGTTTTAGGTCTGAAGATTATTACTAAATCATTAAACATGCTATGTCACAACAACTTAAAAGACATAAATCAATTATGGTATAAAAATAACTAGAAGTATAAATAGGAAGAAGAAACTTATAAACTGATCAGAATGATCGACATATTAAATTCCTCTACCCAAAGGGGATGAACAATAGAAAGCTGGGTGAAGGGAGACAGCGGTTGGTGTAAGATATGAAAATAATGATAATTTATAATTTATCAAGGGGTCACCAGGGTGGGAGGGTACAGGAGGGAGGGACAAAGAGGAGCTGATACCAAGGGCTCAAGTAGAAAGTAAATGTATTAAAAACGATGATGATAACATATGTAAAAATGTGCTTGAGACAATTGATGTATGGATTGTTATAAGAGCTGTTAGAGCTCTCAATAAAATGATTTATTAAAAAATCAATAACCTAGAAAAAGACAACACAACAAGAAGAAGATCAAGCATGAAGAAAGCAGGAGATCACTAGAAAGGTGAGAAATAAAAAGAAGGACAAATTGGATGTTAGAAGAAACTCTGAAACTTGAGTTTGAACATGTAAAAGCAGAAGTGAATGGAAAAAATTAAATAAAAGAACTAAACAGAAAACTTCAAAGGGCAAGTCAAGAATACATATTAAAGCAATATAATGAAATATGCAAAGACCTAGAGATAGACAGTCAAAAAAGAACACACAGAGGATATCTCAAACTGAAAGAAATGAGTAAAAATTCAAGCTTCTAGTTACAGGATAGAAGGATTCTATGGACAAAGTATCTAATGATTCATCTGAATCGTGCTGTTGGAAAAGGATATGTCAGTACTGTTATAGACTGCAGGAAAAACAAATCTGTCTTGGAGAAAGCATGGCCCTTAGAATCGAAAGTGGCATGATTTCTCTCACGTTCTTTGGACGTGTTATCTGCAGAGACCGGTCTTTGGAAGAGGACTTCATGCTTGGTAAAGAAGAGCGCTAACACAAAGAGGAAGACCCTCAATGAGATGGATCGACACATTGGGCTGCAATCTTCAAGGTCCACATTTTGAAACCACAAGCTGCTCTGAGGGAGAAAGATGGGACTCCCGTCATAGTTTCGGAAACTCACAGGGGAAGTTCTACCCTGTTTTATAGGGTCGCTATGAGTCTGCCGCTCAATGGCAGTGACCTCTTATTTCTGTCCTAAAAAAATTACTATTAATTGGGAGTTAATATATATCATATTATTCCATAGTTCAATCACGCCAAGTAGTATTGTACAGTTGCTACCTCAGTCAATTTCCATTCTTTTCCTTCCTGGGCTCCTTTACATTGTCTCCCTTTTACACCTCTCCCCACCTGCTGCCAAAACCCTTGTTCTACTTGCTGTCCCTATAGGTTCATCAATCATGGGTTTGATATACTGAAAGAACAAAACAAAACACATGTAATGCAGCTTCAAGAGGTTGACTCCCAATTCTGTCCTCTTTTTAAGATAACACATTGGGACTGCCTGCTATTCAATTCCTAATAAAGGGGGAACATTCAAAGTTCACCTAATTTTTACTGTTCAAATATATCTTTGGATCAAAGGACACCATGTGAATTATAACATAACTTAAATACTTAATGCAACACAAACTA